CCATCAACGGGTTTGATGTGCCTTTACCGATTACCGTTTGAATCGGGCTAGCATGTGAATTATTAAAACCCGTTTCACATGTAACGTTGTGCTAAGAGAATTGCTTCTCTTAGACTTAATGCTATGATTTTGAATACATAGACTTCGTCTTTCTCACGGGAATAGACTACCCGGCAACGCGTGTTAGGCGTTGACTTATCCCTACTCAGGCTTCGGGATAAAATTCCCCGTGCATCGAGTGCCCGGATTTGACAATCGTGTCTTTTCTAAAAGCAAAGACAGATTGAGAAACGGGAGAGGAAGAATTTTATATTCTATCTCCCGGTGCTGAAGAGGAAGAATTTTATATTCTATCTTCGGCCGGAAAGGGAACTTGAGGTGGGATCCCCCACCCCCAGAATCCGGAATGATGAACTGGGAGTGGGTTCTCCACTCCGAGCATCGGAAAGGTCCGAGGAGAGGAAGAATTTTATATTCTATCTCCCGGTGCTGAAGAGGAAGAATTTTATATTCTATCTACAGCTGGAAAGGAAACTCGAGGTGGGATCTCCACCCCCAGAATCCGGAAGGATGAAACTAAGAGTGGGATCTCCACTCCGAGAATCGTAACAATTCGGATAACCCTAACTGTCGGAAGGTTTGATTACCCGATTTGGAAGTGGACCTCTCGTTCATTGGGGGAATCGAGAGGAGATTTTGGCTGTGGCCCTAACTGTATGAATGTTTGACCAAGCAGGAGTTTGAGACGACCTAACTGTCGGAAGGTTTGATCGCTCGATTTGAAGGTGGACCTCTCGTTCATTGGAGGAATCGAGAGGGGATTTTGGCTTTGGCCCTAACTTTTATAGGTTTGACCCAGCAGGAGTTTGAGATGACCCTAACTCGATTTGAAAGTGGACCTCTCGTTCATTGGAGGAATCGAGAGGGGATTTTGGCTTTGGCCCTAACTTTTATAGGTTTGACCAGAATGCAAAGAGAGTGGAATACGGGTAGCAAAGAAAGTGCCAACTCGTATTACCACTCAAAGGGAGACTTTAATGTTAGGCGTTTAGGTCCTAGCACGTTGAGTCTGAGAAACGCCAATGACTGGCAGATGGGAATATTGGTGGGTCCACTGTCATTTGATTTGATCAGCAGATGGTTTGGTGAGGAAAGATTAACCTACCAGAAGATTGGATCTCTTCTCACAAAAATAACTCATAAGAGTTAGAGAATAAGAAGAGACATTCTGACCTTCAGAGTTCGAACGTGAATTTCATATTTTTCCCCCCGCGTTCAGGGGCTACGTTTCCGGGGACATAACTATGTGAAGCTGACACGAAAGTCAACATGTGCTTTTATCATTGACTAGTTTTTACACACGTGCAATGCACGTGATTTAATACCATGATTAAGTATTTTTGGCAGTTTGTGCTCATTTTTTTCTTTAAACTCTTACATCCCGATTATTTTTTTATGTTTGTTTAAATGGGATACACCCAATTTAAATTTTCATGTTGATATTTGAATTGACAAAAAACAAATATAATTTAAAAATAATTTGAATTTTCATATTATTTTTGACCGATATGAAACTAAGCTTTATTTGAGAAAGTATAGCATTGCAAAGTGAAAAATATTAAAATAGTGTTATACAAGGAAGGTGAATATTTAAAACCAATATGGCAAAATGATTGATTTAAAGTATGTTAAAACGATGCAAAAGAGAATATGAAGTTTATTCCTAATCATTGATAGACTTCATAAAAAAATATAAATTAAAGATTAATGCTAACTCTAGTATACTTTTATATGATAAAAACATCCACATAAGAATATAAAAGTACTGAAAAAAATTCATGAAACTCCCTTCTAAAGATTCCTAATTTCACTCAAAATAATTAAACTATTCTATAAAATATTCATAAAATATTGTTTTTATTTCTTCTATTTTATTTTTTATTGAGTTAAGATCAATCCTTCTTCAGGTTTATTATTTATCATTTCTCGGACAATTCTAGAGTATTGTCTTCATCATCTACATCAATTGTGACATCAGGCTAATTTTGTATTTTTTATGCTATTATCTTTCCTAGGCTCGTTAATTTTTTATCATCTCATTTAACTTTACAAAGAAGTCAAATGTACTTATGATGTTCAACACAAACTGCTCAAAATATAGACTTTGATTTTTTTTTCTATTTCAATGAGAATAAATATTAATTTCATATATATAAAATTCTTTGTGTTCCTAATTTATTACTTAAATAAATTAGAAGCTATCTCTTTATTTTCCTCTAAAATGAATTCTTCTGATGTGCATCCAATAAGAATTTCTGTTATTTCAATAATATTACCTTTGCTCTATCCCTGTCATTTTCCATAAAGATCTAAACTAAATACCTGCATTATTCATTACCAATTTCTCTTAGATTATAATATTAATATTTAATTTGAAGAACACAGTATGGAATTTATGAATACTTACTAATTATTATTATGTCTTCCATGGAGATTTTTTCTTTGATTAGGATAAAGTTATTAAATTATTTTTTAATGTAGCTCATTCAGTGCTTCATTAATAGATATGTCTTATGTTAATGCCATTTCAAGTGATTCATTGACGTTTTCTGAATTTTAGATTTATTTCTATCACTTTCTCATTTGCAATGGAAATAACTCAATTCTTTTAAAGTTATCTCTAAATATTCTAATAGTTTCTCCATATATAATTCCTTGTATTCTTTTACCCTATAAATATTATTAACGTCAAAGATTAAAGTTTCTAAATTAAAATCAATTAATGCTAAGGTATAATATTATAGTGTTTTATCATTTCTATGGATTTAAACATCTATCAATTAATGTTACGAATGTATTTTGGCTACCCCAACTTATTACTAAAATTATATGAAATTACTTTAATTTATATAGTGCCGATAATTTTTAATCTATAATATTTTTAAAAATTTTATCCATTAACCGGATGTTTTTAATCAATTCTTATTGTTTTTGTTTACCAGTATCAACTTAGACTATTCTTAGATGCTGAAAATGGATAGTAAATCCCTAAATTAGAAATTTTAATATATATATATATATGAAAAATACCAAACAATTACACTTTTCTTTGCCAAGTTTTAAAATTTTAGCCCATTTTTGTGGTTTTGAACTTTGAGGGTGTGATTTATAATTTTTAAAATTTTGAAAGAGTTTTTAAAAAATTTTACTTTTAAGTTTGGTAGTTGTAAATTCTATGTTTCATGTGTTGATGGTAATTTTTAAATGTTAGTATATTTCTTGTAACTCTAAAATTTTAAGGGTGTCTTTTACAATCATTAAAACTATAGATTAATTTTGAAAAATATTAAATTTCAGCGGTCTACCAATCGACGAATTTGATGTGTGCTAGTTAAAAATTTTGAAAATTTAGAGTTTTTTTTACGATTTTTAAATTTTGAAGGGGTTTTTAAAAAAATTTGAGGTTAATTTTGGCAAATTTTAATTTTTTAGGTGTCTAAGGATAATATCTTGAATTCATCTTATTTTATTTACAAATTTTAGAATTTTAGGGTGGCTTTTTATAATTTGAACTGTTGAAAGTGTTTCTATAATTTTTGAGATATTAAGGGTGTTAATTAAAAAATTTAAATTTAAATGTCAAAAATTTTAGGTGTATCATGGTAATCTCTTGAATTCATCTGTGTTGTTTGTAAGTTTTAAAATTTTAGAATTTTAATGTGCTTGTCTGTAATTTAAACTTTTGAGGGTGTTTCTATAATTTTTGAGACATTGAGGTGTTAACTGTAAATTTTAAATTCTTTGCAAACTGATGTTAATTTTTTAATTTCATGTTTTTTATTTTAAGTTTTGAAACATTGGGATGATTTTTATAATTTTAAACTTTTTATGGTTTTTTTTACAATACTTCATGTATTATAATATGTTATCTACTTGTAATTTCTTTATCTTAACAAACTAATATCATTTTTATATTTTATATATTTTATTAATATTTTAGTTTTTTTAAATTGTTAAGCTAAACATGGTTCACATAGGATTAGGATAAGATATGATTATGATTAGGATAGATTAAGGTATAAATAAAATATTCAAAATAGTGAAGGGTAATATTGACCATTGAAAATTAGAATTTGATTATAGATAAGGTAGTTGAAACTATAAAGGTGTATATTTGTCTAAAAAAGATTTTCCGAACTCGTGCTTTTAAAGGGAGTATGAAATCTACCAAAGTTTTATTATAAAATTATATTGATTCTACCTTAAATTAGAGTTGAGGTTGGCCTAACAATAAATTTAACAAATATTAATACTTAGAAAATTCTATTGTTACTTTATAAATATTTGGCATGATAGAGGATATGAACATGCTAATTTTAAACAATTTAAGGTATCTACTCTTTTATACTTATAGGAGGATCCAAAAAATCATTGTTTATACTACAGTAAATGATACAGTAAATTATTATAGCATAAACAGTAAACAAAATCTGTCCTATGTGCTTGAGTACTGTTTATGCTACAGTAAAAACTGTAGTGTGACATAAAATATTTTCGCTATAGTATTAACATTTGGATCCTTCTTTAAATATAGATTTATTTTTTAAATCAAATGTAACTTAGATCCTTTTCTAAGTATAATGAGTAAATATAAATTCTACATTAAATGTATTAAAACTTGCATCCTTTTTTAGGTGTAGAAGAGTAGATATAATTTCTAATTTTAAATATATAATAATCAAATTAAATGCATTAAAACTTAGAGAAAAATAAGTTTAAAATATAGTGCTTAAAAACAAGGGGGTGTGCTTTGCATGGGGTGCACGCTAGTATAAATGCTGCCAAAGACTAGCAAGGCCTATAAGATGCTAAGAAGACAAGTGAGGGAATTTAAGGGGTATTCAAGCATGTCGAAATAACGAACTTTTAGGAAGGCCCAAGTTTGCAGGGCCAATTCGACAAGGGAAAGCCCATAATAATTTCCCGGCACAAAGAAATTTAGGCCAACCGAGAAGTCCGCGACCAAACACGCCCTCGTTGCTGTCTCTAGGGTTTTACTCCCCTCTCCACTTCCGACTCATAAACCCTAACTTTCTCTAGATTGCGGCCCTAGAGCAGCAGCAGCAGCCATGGCGACCACCAGGGTTCAGAGGATTATGACCCAGCCCATCGTACGTTCGTCTCTGCCCTCTCACAAACCCTAATTTTTAAAACTTGATTTCGCTTTGATCTAACCAAGTTTGTTTCTTTGTGCTCAGAATCTCATCTTCAGGTTTCTTCAGAGTGTAAGTCTTTCTGAAAATTCCCTTTCTCGTTTGATTATTTAATGGGAGATCCTTTGTTGTGACGATGAGCTTTCAATTGATGCAGAAAGCTCGCATTCAGATCTGGCTCTTTGAGCAGAAGGACCTGAGGATTGAAGGGCGCATTATCGTAAGTTTCACGGAGTCTCCTTTTTAAGTTTGGACGTCTCAGTTAATCCCCTTAACTCTCAAAACGTCACAACCCTTATGGTTTTTCTTAGGAACATTGTATAGATTTTTTGTGTTTGGAAGGTTAAGAAGGAGTTGAAGTCTCCTTAAGCCCTTACTTAACCTTTTGCCAAACGACAATCGTTTTCAAAAACTCCTCTAATGGTGTTAGTTGGGGGTTTTCTAACAAAACTTAAACAGGGTTTTGTGACATTTTCAAAGTTAGGACGATTATGTAAGAAACAACCACACCTAAGGGGCTCCATAAACCCCCTTAGGGGCCTGTTTGTTTGTACAGAAGTAATTACGAAGTAGCTGAAGTAAAGGAAATAGATGCTACTTCCGCTACACTTCCGAGCAAAAAAATAAGTTTGTTTCTTTTAAAAATCTACTTTCAATACTTTGGTAAACACTGATGTTGCGACTACATGCTCTCGTTACTTTCTAAATATTTTTTCACCCCTCAAGACCCGGAAGTAGCTCGAAAGTAGGTGAAATGTCTATTAATTTGGAAATAAATAATTTGTCTTATTAATATTTTTTTTATTAGTTGCTTCCTAACAACTTTTCATTGCTATCTAAACAAAAAAAAGAGAATGAAGAATAAGTACTGTTTCTACTACTTAACAAAATATGTGAAACAAAAAAAAAAGTTATCTCCATTACTTCCTACTTCATAAGTTTAGAAGTTGCTTCTTTGATCTATTTTTACTTTCAGTACTGCTGTCAAACCAAACAGACCCTAAGCTAGAATGAGAGTTTGAAGTAAATCTGTCAGTTCGGGTTTTTTTTGACAAAACCTAAAATAGGAGCGGGATGGGTTGTAACATTTTGCAAGTTAAGGGGATTATTTGATAAATGCCCAAACCTAAGGGGTTTTGTAAAATTTATGCTATTATAATTTCATTTACAAGTTGCATTTTTTTGTATTTACAATTGTTCTTCATGAAAATAAGTGTTTTAAAAAACGCCCTGGGCGGCCGCATAGGCGCCTACCTAGGCGTAGGCGGTGCCTAGGGCATCTCGAAACACCCTGAGCGGTGCTGTTTAGGCGCTGGCAGCGCCTAAGCACCCGTCCAGAGCTAAGCGGGCTGCTTAAATGGCCCGCCCAACAATTTCTATAAAAAAATTCCAAATGGGCGCTAAAATAAACAAACCCAAACCCAACTAAACAGTAACCCTAATTCTCATTTCTCACTCCTGACGCCGCCACAAATTTTTCTCAACTCTGTGCTTCCGAAATCATGTTCCCCGTCGAAGCCCTGTCGAAACTCCCCTGGCCTCGTCAAAGCCTCTCGAAGCTGTCGAAGCCTCTCATGGCCTCGTCAACGCCTCTTGAAGCTGTCGAAGCCACGTCGAAGCCTTGTGACCCCGTCAACTTTGTCGAAGCCCTGTCGAAGCTCCCTTGACCTCGTCGAAGCCTCTCGGAGTCGTTTAAGCCTCTGGAAGCCTCTTCGAAGGCCCGTTACCTCTGTCGAAGCCTCCTCCGAGCTCCTCCCACCTCGTCTTCGATCTCTGAGCACTAGAAGCTTAGTCGAAGCCCCCTACCTCGTCTTCGATCTCCGAGCTCCCCCCATCTCTGTAACAGTAACTTAAAGACATTCGTAAATATCTATTTTTTGACTGTTGAGAAGTATAAGCATACTGCATAAGCAATTTAGTTGAGAATTAGTTTTTCATTGTTGAGAACTTAAGATGAACTTATAATTTAAGTTGAGAAGTATAAGTATACATAGAGCTAGCTATTGTAATTTGAGTTGAGATTTGAGAATAAGTTTTTCATTGTTGAGATGACCTTATAATTTGAGTTGAGAAATATAAGCATACATAGAGCTACTATAATTTGTAAACTAAGCAATTTAGTTAACAGTAACTTAAATACTTAAGTTTATTAAATATCTATATTTTGACTTTGTTAAATTAAGTTAGTTAACAGTAATTTAAACTTAAGTTATTGTTAACTTAAGTCGACTATTCCTGTTTGACTGTCTTTTTGCTGATATTTTGGGACCTGAACTTCTAAATATGAGATATTATATGCCTTGCTATCTAGTATGTATGCATCTTTGATTAATTACTATAGTTTTGGATAGCATATGTGTTGGTATTTAAGTATTTGTGCATCTTTGATTGAGTGTGTGGGGTGTGTGTGTGTGTATTCAAGTATCGCAATTAAAAAATAAAAATGAAAAAAGCCCAGAAATTGCTTAGGCGCCCGCCTAGGCGTCTAAGCGTTGGACGTCAAGTCTAATGCCTAGGAATGCCCAGCGTTTAATGTAACTGATGAAATTTTTGATTTGTTCATGCTTGAAATTAGGCCAATTTTATTGATTTGTCGCTGATATAGAGGGTTTAGGACATGGCCGATATGATTTCTGCAAAAATTTATGACATATCATTTTCGGCCGATCTATCCCGATATATCGATGTAAATCTGATAAAGCAGCTAATTTCTCGTAGGTTAAAAATTACTCAATTTTCTACAATTTATATTCTAAGTGAACCGGTTTGGTTTTGGAGGTAAAAAGTCTTTTTTTTCATATCCGCCTCATCTACTAAACAAAAACCGTGCTATCCTATTCTATTTCACATCCGCTCATCATGTAGCTCTAATTCTCTCCGCCTCCACTATTCTCTCCCCCAAATTGCTTGCCAATTTCTCATACGAAGATGTCCGTTGACAACCATTCCAAAGACCATTTCTCGATATTTCATTAAATATGCGTAGATTACATTTTGGGAGATTATGTTATATATGCTCATCATCCGATATGACATTCCAATTTACTACTTATCCCGTTATATCCCTTATAGTCGATATCTAATATGAACTTTGGTTGTCCAATATATTTTCAATAACTGATATTTTAGACCTTGTCATGTCCATTTAGATTTTCGTAGAGTTGACTTCAGATAGCATTGTCTACCTCTGAAATTGTTTTAGGCAGCATTGTCTTAGGACGAAAGTGAAGGAAATAAAATTGTAGAGTTAGACATGGTTTAGGAAGTTGAAAGGCATGAAGGATTATTATGGGATCATATATCCTTATAATAAGTAATTTTCTTGTAGGTCACGTGTAATATTTTAATATGATAACTAATATTCTCATGGTTCTGATGTCTTTATTGGATAGTTTTATTCAGGCTTTTGGTGCATTCCTTTGTCGGGTTAATAAGAGTTGTATTAGATGTGCATATACGAGTTTGTCTAGTTTTCGTGGGCTTTAGTATCTCAATTAAGCAGGGACCATCCTACATTTGACACTCCCTGTTGCAATCTCAAATATCTTTGATATTTCTACAGTATTGAAATCCCCCAACCCCAAGCATTTTGATCAGATAAATCATGGTTTTCTTGGATTGGCTCCAACCACAGGGTTTTTAACCATCTGGCATCCTAGTTCTGTTGTGTGATACCTACATGAATCTATTGCTCTATATAGGAATTGGGATCTCATCTCCACTACCAAAAAGTAGTGGAGAGACCACTCCTTTTATGATACAAAATTTTGATTATTCAATGGGCCGTGAAGGACAATTATAATTCATTCTATAACAATCATCTATTGTATCCCGGTGAATTGCACTCATTTCTATTCTACACTCAATAAGACAATCACAACCTTCTATTAATCAATCAATGAATGAATATAAGAAAAGTACCGGTATCTCCACTACTTTTAGTAGTGTATCTCCACTACTTTTAGTAGTGGAGAGGATACAAATTCCATCAGAAGTTGTAATGTTAAGACTTTTACCTGTGATAGTTTGGGAGTTCAAGCTTACTTAACTGTAAGTTTTTACGCAAGAAGCTGAAAAGCTCTAATTTCCTTAAGTGACCAGTTATGAATCTCTCCTCTTTGCTTTTGTAGCTCTTTCATAATATTTGACCATTTATGCATTTGCTATAAGCCCTAAGACTTTTTACTTCTGTAGAATTGCTGGAATTTGGTCTTGGTTCTCTGAATGCCAATATTCATTTGTGTACTTAAAGGGGACACATGATACACTTTAAATGTCATCACACAATGAATATGACCAGTTTCTGAAGCCATCTTCGCGTAAACTGGAGTTGAATTTTCAGCTTAGATCCATAATAAACAGCAATTCAAAACTCTGAAGTAAGAGTGCTTATTGATTTGTCTTGTCTAAAATACATAGTTTGTTGTTTTTTGTAGTAGCTTAAACTTACCCTTACGTACCCTATACTTGATGGTGCAGTTAGGATTTGGATCCATTATATTATTGTTGTGGTAAAAAAAGTGTGGAGATGCTTACTGAGATGCCAATTTCTGAAGAAATGTGCGTGAGTTCTCTGAGGAAACAATTGAAAATGATGATCAATACATCAATGGAGATAGATAACCCGTTGTAAGAGTCAACTTTTCCCAATGGGCGTTAGGCTTTCAATATTGGGTGGATAACATTTAGAATCATATTGTATGGTACTAAGAGGTAATAGATAACTGCTTGAAGGATGTGGCAATAATTAATTATTTACAGGTTTGCTTGGTACAAAAGGCTAATGGAGAAAGGTTATATGAAATAAAAAATGCTTGAAGGTGAAGGGATTAGCAACAGTTAATGATTTAGAAATTTACAAGGCACGAATCTAAAGGGAATGATTTTGGCTTGTCATACATTGGTACATGAAGTTTATGCAAAAAGAATTGGCCTTATGGAGGTTGGAGAGTGGAGATGCAGTCAGAAGCATCAGCTTGAATAAAATTGGATTGTCGGATGGATGATACTCAAGTCATATCTTCAATATTTTTAGGCGCGAAAAGATAGTTTCGTGCTGTTTTGAAACAAGGGTCACCTTTATTTTGAGCAACTCACTTGGTATCCAGCCAAATGTCTGTACAGTGACAAGAACCATTCATCTAACAAGCTTAAATGGTATCCATAGAAGCTGTATATTGGACAGTGGAGGAGATCAATACAAGAGTGAAAGTAGCATATATCTAGAACTGGGTATTGTCAGAAATCTAATCCTTACATATAAATCACTGGGTTGTATTTGTGTTACACATACACCACCCTTGATTTAGCCTTAGGTATCTAGAGCGTAGAGTCCTATGGAGATTAGTGGTTCATAGGGACTGAAGTATTTTCTTGAATAAGTGATTTCAGGTATCTGTGTGCCTATCGTGACACAGACAATCCTGTTATGTTGTGAATTATCAACCATTATCGATCTGGATGCTACACTGTAGGATCAGGTTTAAAACTGGGCCTCAGGTGACGTCTACTTTTCCAAATGTTTCACGTTTTGTTTTCATCTGATTTGATCTGAGTATTGTTTTCCTGCCTTAACTCATCTGCATGCTTATACAAAGTGTCTGCTTTGTTTCGAGGCATTTGTTTGAAATAATGTTTGTTCTATTATACCAATCTATTTGAAACTATCCCAAGTTATTAAGTTGTTGTGATATAGCATCTTAGTAACCCTGCTTGATTTCGTCTTTTGTATTAGGGTTTTGATGAGTACATGAATTTGGTTCTGGATGATGCAGAGGAGCTTAATGTCAAAAAGAAAACCAGGAAGTCACTAGGTGAGTTTTGCCATTCCTCTTCTCATTTATGCTTAATTTTCACATTTTTTATACATTCAAAGAACTGAGATGCTTCTTTGTATTTTCTTAGGGAGGATTCTCTTGAAAGGAGACAACATAACATTGATGATGAACACGTGAGCATACTCGGAAAGACATTGTCCTTTATTTCAGTCTTTTTCTTCAGCTTCACATGCTTATAAGTTTCTTACCTCTTTCTCAAATTTTCTTCTCAGAGGGAAATGATGGCTGACAAGTATCTGTCTTGGTGCGTCATGCAGAGGTTTGCACTGTGAAGTTTGCTTTTATGTCATGATGCTTTGTTAATAGCTTGGTCATGTTTGCTACCGGTAGCCATGGACCTTTATACAAGTACTCGAAGGGGATTTTTGATTGGCTGCTAGTGTAATTTCGCAAGTGTCGGTTGCATTCAATTGCTGCTGCATGTAGTTTTAGTTGTAGTTGCTTGGTTCTGTTTTAAAATTTATAATATGCACTGAAGGCTTGATCTTGGGTAAAAGGTTTCATTGAATTCTGTTGGTTGTTGGCCCCTAGTGGAATGCAATTTAAATTCCTTTCGCTGCTCAAGAGGTTACAATTTTCGCCAAAATTTGCAGAACAGGCGGGCTGTTACTTTGAGACCTTTATGCAATCACAGTCGCGAGCTTACTTGTTAGTCACAGTGCAACAAATAGCCGTGGGAGTTTTGTGACCCTGAGAATGTTAGAATCGTCCAGATTGCGAAATAGCCGTGTATCAGCTGCTCGCTTCTCCCATCTCATTTCAAAAGTCTAGACATCAACTCAAATGCATGCATTCTCTGCTTTGACGCTAACATAAATAAGAACGGACGAGCTTGCCTCTATCAGACATCGACTGCATGTTTATCTCCGGAGCCTTACGCTTTGGCTCTACCGAGTCGGCGCTGGGTCCCGTGACATCCGAAATGCTTGGAGGAGATTCAATAAATTTGGGTCCTGACACCGAACATCTGATGTTGATCTGTACAGCTAGTGCCTCATTATTTGATACAGGGTTTGAGTAATGCTGCTTCCTGTGGGATCATGAGTGTTATTACGTCTTTGAACAGCATTTGGAGCGAATTTTGAAGACTAAATTCAAGAAGAGGTGGAAGAAAAACTGCCCAATCTTTATATTTTCTTGGGTAAACTTTACTAAATCCCCAATAAATTTGGGTGTTAGGCGTTTAACCCCCATTTTTTTTTTGAAAACCTCTCTAATCCCCAATTAAGCCTGGGGATTTGGAAGAACTCTCAATTTACTTTCTGGGTTTCTTTTTTTTTCGCTTATAACCCCCGATGGCTACTATATGATTATTGGTGTGGGAATTTGGTCGCGGGATTTTGTGCTGTCACGTAGATATCAAAGGGTAATTAGAAATGCCCGGACTCTTCGAGGATTTGCTGAATGTTGGTCACATTCTATCTAAAACATCCGACCACTGACAACTCCCCCGGGCCAAGACTCACAAGAATTGGGTTAGAACCAGTTCAAATTTGCGTTTTAGACGCGTTTCAATTTTGTTCTACCTCCCTCCTGGACTAGGACTAAATTGATTTAGCTAGAGCCCCCCCCCCCCCCCCCCCCACCCCCAAAAAAAAAAAAAAATAAATAAATAAAAAATAAAAAATAAAAATAAAAAATAAAAAAGGGATGATCGTCATTTGCGTTTCGCGTTGCCCTTGTGAAGAACAAATCACATGCTACCAAAAAAAAAAAAAAAAAGGGGGGCTTTCTTGGGGGGGGGGGGGCGGGCGGGGGGCGGGGGGGCGGGGGCTTTCTCCTTTTTTTTTTTTTTTCACCTTCTCCGTAAATTTTTTGGGCGGCGGGCGGCGGGGGCGGGGGCGGGGGGGCGGGGGGGGGGCGCGGCGCGGGGGGCGGCGGGGGGGCGCGCGGGGGGGGCCGGGCTACAATTTTTTTTTTTTTTTTTTTTTTTCCCCCCCCCCCCCCCCCCCCCCAGCTCCAAACTTTTTTTTTTTCGCTAAAAATTTTTTTTTTTCCCCCCCCCCCCCCCCCCCCCCCCCCCCCCCCCCCCCCCCCCAACCAACAAAACACACACGAGACGATAGGATTCACGTGCACGTTTAGGGCAGGCAGGCTGTGGATCTGCTGCTCAAACATTAGCGGTGCGGGCGATGCAATGCGCGTCAGCATCTGACACCTGGCATCAAAGGGTTGGCTTCTTGTCACCACCAAGTTACTTAAAACCTACCTACATGCTTGCTTACATGGCCTCATGCTAGTTGTCTCAAGACTTTACTAATCAATGAGGAGTATCTCCGTATCTCATTTTGAGGGGTTAACTCATTTTTAATCCCTCTAGATGTGTTAGCTTAACCCTTTTATATTTTTTATGTTTGGCAAATTATGAAGAATTAACTCACTTTAACCCTTGTATAAATTTTTTGTGTTTGACGGGTTAAGAAGGGGTTAAGTCTCTTTAACCCCTCACTTAACCCTTTGCCAAACGACACCTTATGGTATAATGGATGGATCTACAAAAACACGGTTTGCTATCATCTTGGCTGTGAGATATATCTATATATATAATTCAATAAGAGAAGGTCACATCCAAATTAGACTAATTTGTTTTCATGCTTGAAATCTCAAAGCACCATCATAATTTTCTTTTTTATAACTAACCCAGCTTGGATTCGAACCCAAAATCTTTGAAGTCGTATTGAAACTTTCCAACCATCCAGACCACTCATGCTAGGTAATGCGAGACGATTTCAACGTGGGAGCGGGCCCCATCTACCCCAGGACCTGTGTTTAGGACCTAATTGGTTGCCACTTGTTTGAGAGTTTTAAGTGTTAGTCGCTACAGTATTACAACCAACAGCTCTGTTCGGTGGGTCAATATGATCATGTTGCTGTAGCTGAGTTGGCATAGCAGGGTTGGTAAACCCTCAGCTATTCCCAGCAAAAAGTTGAGAAACTGGGCCGCGCTACCGTAGCTGTCAACTCCAAAAGGAACAAAACAAGCCCTTAATGTACATGTCTGACTAGTGCTCCATCCTCATCAGCTCCCCCTCATCTCCTCCAGACCGTGGGACCCACCTCCCGGCCCAACCCACTCGCTAGCTTACCCCATGACACGCTTTTGGTGCTCTATACAGTGGAACCAAACAAAACAATCTAAAAAAACAAACCAAAAACTTTTCACTCAGTAGTCAGGTGGTAAATTTTTTATTTTAACTATAATAAAAAGGCAAAGCAAGCACGGTACAAATTGATCGAACTATATATACGTCATATCATATTTAACCCACTCGTTAGTTAACCGGCTAGTGATTTGCATCAATTTCAGAGTGCGCACGAAATATAGCAGCAGGTGGGAATCGTACGTGGGATCTAAAACTGTGTAGGTTATTCGATGCAAAAGTTGCTTTAGGTGCAGTTTGGCAAAGGGTTAGATGAGGGTTAAGAAAACTTAACCTTTTCTTAACTTACCAAACATGAAAAATCTATACAATGGTTAAAGTGAATTAACCATTCATAATTTGTCAAACACAAAAAATATAGAAGGGTTAAGCTAACCCTTCTAGAGGAATTAAAAGGAGTTAACCCTTCAAAATAAGGAGATTTTAAGGGGTTTACTAATACTCCTATTTAGAAAGATTAAGAGTTAACCCTTATAATTATTAAAAATAGTCAAAATCATTGTTATTCTCAAAGAGCTTTGCTACAGGGACCCAAAATATGGGACATCTCATTATGCAATATAGGAGGGGGCACCTCACATGTCCTCCTTATCGGTCCCATATTTTGGGTCATTGGGGAATTTTTCATTCTTAAACACTAAAAATGATCATAATGACTAAAATAAAACTTATATAACGGATTAATAATTTAGTCATTCAGATTAACAAATGGGCTAACTATGTTAATCTTTCTCCTTAATTCCTATTCATTAACTTTACCAAAGAGGCCCTAAAATAACATGAAATTTCAAAATTGAAAGTTTGTTTTTGACGTATCTTAAAAGAAAAATGTCTTAGGGACCCAAAAACATGGGAACCTAAATGAGACAAATGAGGTGTCGGCTCCCGGTCTAATGATACACTATTCATAAACAGTGCATCATGAGACAGTGAGCTGACACTTCATCTGTCTCATTGGGCATCCCATTTTTTTAGTAACTGTAGCACTACCGGCCTCGGTCGACATTCTCCCTCTCAAAAAAAAAAAAAAAAAAAATTAATGTCAAAGAGAGAACACTTCAACGTGGCCACCATGCATCCACTTGTCGAGCTCCGATTCGCTGACAATCCGATCTCCATGACCCCAGTAGATAGGCTCCATCCGATAGAACTCGCCCATATCCTCCTCCTCTCCTCGCCCAAACCTAAAAAGAGAAGGAAGAATATTGCGTAAGGTGGGGAGAGGAAACAATTCAGGAACTCTAAAGAGAGAGAGGGAGAAAAGAGGAAAAAAAAATCTGCGGAGATGGCGAGGCGGCCGATTGGAGAGGAGGGGCGAGAAGAGCTACTGGGTCGTAACCTCGACCACCCGCGACTTCCTGCGCTCGTCGCCTCCTGTCCTTCTTCTGCGGGCCGGACTCCGCTTCCTGCTGCCGGCGCCTGCGACTCCCGCGGTTCCACTCCGCCAAACAGGGCCTCGCCTCCCGCCACGACGCGTCCGCGCTCTGCAGCTGTCTGCCGACGCGCCCCGCCGCCGTCGCCTGCAGGGCCGACGCCGCTCCTCCCCTGCTCCTCCTGCGACGCCGACATCCACTCGCCAACCCCTCGCCGCCCGACACGAGCGCGTCCCCGTCGCCCCCCTCCCGACCCTCCTCCGCCGCCGACGACGACGAGACGTTAAGACTAACAGCGTCGGCCGTCCGCTGTTCGCGAGTGGAGGAGGGGAGGGGGTCGTCGTCGACGATTTCGATTTGATGAAGTCGGCCGACTATTTCTTCGCGGACGCGGAGCGGTACGTGGACCTGGACCACGCCGACAGCCTGGTCCCGGTGCAGCCGGAGAAGGCTCATCATGTTAGCGTCGGTGGTGCTCCGGCGTTCCGGCGGCCGCGCCGCCAGCTTCGATTTTGGCTGCGCCCCCAAGCCTTCTTACAGCGCATACAGCGTGCGTGGCCTCCCTTAATTTCCCTTGTCTTAGTTTGGCACTTCATTTTTCTTATTGGTCGTTAATGAGAGAAGGGAATGATTGTAACTTTCCATCTCGGTCCGCGTACAGGTGGTGCTCGTCGGACGTTGGGGTGGTCCGGACGCCGTCGGAGACGCGCCGACCGGTTACGCGGGGGGGGCGGCGGGGGCCCACACGAGCGTGGATCGGGAGGCGAGCCGGTGATGAGGTACAGGGAGAAGAGGAAGAACAGAAAGTTTGAAGAAGACGATCAGGTACGCGTCGAGGAAGGCGTACGCGGAGACGCAGGCGAGGATAAAAGGGGAGGTTCGCGAAGAGGGCGGAGGCGGAGGCGGAGGTCGAGGGGTTGTATTCGTCCGCGGCGATGGTGGCGGGGATGATGGGCGACGGTGGCTACGGGATTGTGCCGATCGTTTTGAGATCATGACGCGGCGAACTATGTAATTTTTTTTTTTTGTCCCCTTCTTCTTCTGGCTTTGTGAAGGGCTAACCAGTGTTTAGAAGAAGAAGGCCCTTCTGTGTATAATTTCGTTCGACTAGATTTCAGTTTTTTTTTTAACCCCTTAATTTTTGATGATTATTACGTAACCCTCCATTAACTTTCAGAGTCTCACAAAACCACTCGAGGGCTGCTAGGAAAACCCCATCTACTTCCAATGTTTTCCAAAAATAATTCTCAGGAAGGTGTGAATCTAAATTTTCACAGGCAATGCTTTTGCCTAACTTTACCCGCGCATATAAAAAATGGCACTTAGTGCCATTATAGAGCGGTTTTATGAGAAGTATTAAAGTTGAATGGGTTTTTCTTATAATCCCAAACATAGGGGGGGCGTTTTCTGGAAGTTATATATGATTGTCTAAAGTTCAGGAGGGTTTTCTGAGATTTGGTCATTTGTTTTCCCTCTTTTTTGTAACTTTTTGGGCTTCTTGATCAGAACTTTCTTCGATGCAAAATCAAAGTATCTTACTATTGGAAAATGTGGGGATTATAAAATTCATGATAAAAATGATACATGTAAACTATCTTATACTATTGGAAAATGTGGGGACCTGCGTGAGTTATCAAGTTGTGGGTGGGTAGTTTAGAGTGTCTTCATATCTTTCCAAATTTATCCTTCTAACTAGTTTCGATTTACTATAAATTGTTGAGGAGATATGATCCACTTTATCTCTTGCTTGCTATATTTTTCTCATCCCAAGAAATCATCTTACTTCCCTTCAAAATTTAGTCAACCATCTTAATTAAAGAGTTTTAATTCTCTCTGAAGATCTCTCCACTCATCCCCTTTACAAAGCTAGTCTCACGAGGGGCATTTATGCCACTATTTACTCTGATTTAACTTAAAATTGATAGAAATTATGGGTTTATGGCACTTTGTTACCACTGCATATTGTCATTGGTTTTACAAAAATTGAACATTTCGTGGTGGTTTTTTGAAAAAACCACCATCTTTTATACTGATCTAGTGATTTTGCAGTAAAAACATCCCTAGAAACTAAAGATGTTGGTTTTTGAAGTTTATCCTAAAAATTATTGAATAAACTTGAGATACGAGTAATAGAATAATAAATGTAGTTGAAGATTGAATATAAATTAAATAAATCTATACTACTATAAAAAGAGGATTGGGGGTGTTAAAACTTTTAAGTTCATTTTTTACCCTTTCAAATTTTGATGAATTCTAACTATGTCATTATCCCTAATTAATCTTTCACTAAATAAATATAACTTCTTATTAACTATGCACTCCTCATCTTTCTAAATAATTATGATTATCAATAACTTTATAACTATTACTTGTTTAAAAAATATAATAAAATAGATATACACAATTATTAGTAGTAACCAATTAATTTAATATTATAATAATTACTTATGAATTAAAATAAATTAATTAAAATGATAGTATAAATAGAATAATATATTACTAAATACTATTGGGAAATATACTACAATTCAATGAGAAATAAAATAAATAGAATAAATATTTAATCGTATATATAGTGTAATTAATTTATTAATATCATATAAATTATGAATTACACTATTTATTTATATTATATTATTAAATAAATAATTTAATATTATGTTTAGAGTATTTTTGCAAAGATTATTACATGTCACTGAATAATGTATACTTGGTAATGATTGAAAACTAATATTTTTACAAAAAATTATTTAATATTAGTAATAGTTCTATTAATTGTTAGTGATAGTATAATAAAAACTTATAAAATATTTATAATACTAAATTATTTAAGAGCGTAATAAAAAAATTAAATTAGATAAATATTTTACAGTATAGATAGTATAATTATTTTAATAGTATTACTTGAACTAAGAATTATAATATTAAATAAGGTAAATTACAGTCAACCCCATGAACTTTTAGCATTTTGCAGGAAATAGACCCTATGAACTTTCAAAATCACTAAACCCCTAATAACGTTTGTAGAAAACTGTCAATGTCTTTTACATAAATTACACCAAAACCCCAATAACTTTTAAAATGACTTTTTATGCCATTTTTCAGTTCTAATTTATAGAGGCTATCTGCAAAATTTAGAAAGGTGTTGGGGTTTTCTTTAAAACGTAAAAGTCATTAGGGGTTTAGTGTGATTTTGAAGGCTGAAAGTTCATAAGGATTTAGCTTAATTTACCCTATTAAATAATTATAACAAGAAATAACTATTGCAATATATTATAGGTATTAAGTGTAACTATCTAGGGAATATCGGGAAAAAGCTAGCAAGATTACTGCAACTTAGTTAATTTAGAGTTAAGTTAAAGACTTTAAAGTTAGAGGGGCATATTTAAGAGAAATTATAGAATTGACAATTTTATTTAAGAACAATTTTAGATTTAGGGGACTTATTTAAAAAAAGGTTAGCACTAGGCGAATCATTATAAGAAAATATTCAATTACAATAACTATTCAATAATAATTAATTTATGTATTTCTTTTTAAGCAATTTTATTGTACAATTTTATTTGTTAGAACATATTTTTACTATTCAATCAAAAATTAGAACTTAAAACATATACGTTCACGTGCTTTGCACGTGCATTATACTAGTTATTAGGAAATATAGGTTGCACTGCAAGTTATTCAATGGGTTAATTGCCTATTAGTCCCTTATCATTTCTAACTACGTCCCTCAATCTCATTATTTGCTTGTTAGTCCTTTAAATCTTCAGTTTTCTTGCAATATGGTCCTTCTGTTAGGAAAAACTGTTAACTTCTCTAACTCTAGTTGAGTTAATGCTTAACCTAACAACTTAAGTTACCTTATTACCCCTCATGGGGTATACATTGCCCTTACAAAATTTGGGTTTAGAGTAGGGATGAGCATAGTTCGGTTCAAACCAACAAACCGACCGAAGCAGCCGACATTTAGCAGTTCGGTTCAATTTTTATTAGAGTTTGATTCGGGTCGGGTTGATGTTTTTTCAACCCAAACTGACCGAAGTGACCGCATTGTATTACACATTCTAATTACTATTTACATCCGCTTAAACCCCAGCCATTATAGTTCATATAGAGTTACTTCTCTGCAGCTTGATATATTTTTCTCTCACGCGATCTGATAACGATAAAATACCCCAACAACAGTGTCCTCTCCAATTCTAGGACTTTTTATTATCTCTAGTTCTCTATCCATCTCTATTACATATTCGCTTCTTCTACTTTGGACTAATCCACTTTGGAGGCAAGAAACTTAAACCATAATGTTGATTTTTAATTTTTTTTTCCTGATTTTTCTCCTCGATTGATACATTTTTTTATCAGACTTCTCTTTGGATCAGACATATTTTATAGAAACTATACCCAACATTCAAGTTATTACATATTTTTTATTTATTTTGTCTATCAGATTGAGATCACTTTAAATCTTTATGCAAGTTTTCTCTAAAAAAATTATGTAATCTTTGATAGGAATAAGATTTTGATTTCTACATCTAATATATTCAGTAGCATTTAATAGTTTATGAATTTTAATAAATTAAAGTGTAAGAAACTTCTTTCTTCGTCAACAAATTAGAGGTGAAATTGAATTTGTATACAACATTTGTACCTAAAGTGAAAATCGAACAAACCGACCCGAACTGAATCGAACCGACTTGAATCAGTCCGCTTCGGTTTTGAATGATAGGCGGTTCGGTTCGGTTTGGCTAAATTTGGCCAAAAACCAAACTGACCGACCGATTGCACAGCCCTAGTTTAGAGTAAAGCTAGTCATGGGAATGGCCTTGATTTTGGGTTTGGGGGAAGCATGAGACCATTAGTGAAGAAAGAAGGTGGATTTGAGTTGGTATATGTAGGGGTATAATGGATATTTTACCTAATTCCGTCACATTTACATTTAACGGTCATTAATAACACAAACTAACACGAGAGACGGATTGGCAAAAAAAACTAAAGATTTAAGGGACTGATAAGCAAATAATGAGATTTGAGTGATTATTTAGCAATTAAAGATGATTTAATGGATCAATATGCAATTAACCGTCATTCATTGGGTTACATAACGGCAATTCCAACAATTTGAGAGACTAATTTCAAAACCACTAAAATATCTGGGGAGCTAGTTTCAAAGTGAAGATTTTGAGGGGCTAATTCATAACGCTTAAATATTTTCAGGGGACTAGTATAGAAAAACCGTAAAACCTTACTCGGCCTCGCGGATTACGCCCCGCGCTCGA